AAACCTTAAATTGTTGCATGTATAAGAATCATTTATTCAATAGCAACTTTAAATCTATATACAAATATAGAAAAAATTTTTCAATTAGCACCAAACTAAACTTTGTTTAGCTAATAGGCCACCATCCAACCAGCCCAGTTGAATGGCCCGTCTAAACAAAGTTTCTGGCCTAATTTGATTATCAAGAATCAAACTCCCGGTGGCATTATCTAATTTAAAAAAAATCAATATTTAGATAAAATATATACAGTTATTAGGCTATGTACAAAGGATTATCGGATAAAAATATTATTTGTAAAATGATTCTCATAAAAGAATCGTTCCCACGACAAATCATTTACTAATTCTTGCAGAATCTTCTACTTACCACGGCATTGTGATTCAAAATGTGTACCCCAGCGATTACATTTTCCACAAAATTCAATTAGAGTAGCATAATGATGGTCCATATTTCAAACTAAAAAACTAAAAAACCGACGTTGTGGTTGAGAAAAATCATAAGGAAAACAAACATCTCATGCATTTAATTCAGTGGTAGTAGTGATGGTCTCTTTAGAATTGAATTTATTATTCGGTGCGACCTGAATAGTTACTTTGTATGGTAAGAGATATAGGCAGTCTATTTTTCTTAAAATATCGTAAATACGATCATCTTCTATTATTTCAACCTCTTGGTATCGTGCTTCTGGACTAGGAAGATTTTTATTCTTACCAACGACATAGGTATAGACTAAACAACATTGCAAGTTTCGATGCTAAAAATTTGAAATAAATAAATTTCATAGAATAAAAAAACCAGATAAAATATATAATTAAAATATATACACTGGTGAAAATAAGAAGAATAACAAGAATTCATCAGACTAGATATTGTTTATATCATCCTATATTTCTTTCGATTATTAACTCTATCGATATCGATATCGATATAAAAGCACTAAAAGTTATCCGTGGTAATAATTAATACGTAATTATATTGATATGAAATTACCAAATCAAGAAACAATAACTTCTCGAATAAACTCAACACAGATGTAAAGATAAAAATTAAAAAATCAAAACAACATATATATAATCTTCGAAGATAATTCGCTATCGTTATTTAAATAATTAAAATTAATATTTGAGTCAGATTAGGCATTTTTAGCAAATATAAGATTGTATGAAA